CTGCAGGTCATTCACTAGATCCCCCCTTGTGGTTCTGGGATTTTTCCTCACCGTTCTTGTGATCATTTTGACCCCACGACCCCACCATTATTTGCAAAACAATTCTTTAAAAGTCAGACAAAATGATTTTCTCAATTTTTTTTCACATTTTGTCTCTCATGGTTGAGGTCTACCTATGATGTCAATTACAGGCCTCTCTCATCTTTTTAAGTGGGAGAACTTGCACAATTGGTGACTGACTAAATACTTATTTTCCACCATTATTTGCAAAAAAATTCTTTAAAAGTCAGACAAAATGATTTTCTCAATTTTTTTTCACATTTTGTCTCTCATAGTTGAGGTCTACCTATGATGTCAATTACAGGCCTCTCTCATCTTTTTAAGTGGGAGAACTTGCACAATTGGTGACTGACTAAATACTTATTTTCCCCACTGTACGTTAAAGATGTAGAACTATATACAGGGTGTATCAGAAATAAAAACGATACTCTCAGGAAAATTGCCATAAAATTAACACAGATAATAAATTTGAAAATGTGGGCGTAACTTTGTTAGAGGTGATCATTCTGCTTCAAATGACACCAAATCTCGCTCCAGTGAGCAGGGACAGTTGGAAATTCACAAAATTCATGTCCTTTGCGCAAGGAAATGTGAGGGTTAAAATACGATCTGTCACATAAAATCAAAAGTTTAAATGGTGTTTCACACGCATGCCAAGGCATTTTTAAAGTAATTAAACCTTTCATGTCCTAACATTGAAACAAAAATCTCATTTTTGTGTGGATCATAACCAAGGGTTAACAAACACGTGAAGTAGCCGTGGACAAGTCAGTCCAGCCAACATTACATGTAATGTAATGTACATGTACATGCATTCAGTGGGTATTACATGTAATTATTCCATCACTTGGTACAAGATCATGTGATCGAGTGGTCGTTTTCTTTCATTAAAACAACATGCTCTTAAAAGACAGTGTAAGAGAGACACTCATCTTTAGAATGAAAGAAACAGACGGGGGTGGGTTAAGGTATTTGCTGCATAACAAATGTAAACTAATAGCCTTTGGATTGTTTTGCAGAAGGATGGAGTAGGTTCTCAGGATCTCAGAAACCCAGTCTCCTCTGTATATGCCCTTAGTGTAGTGTCGGTATGGTTCCAAGCCATTTCCATTAGGCCAGATCCATGGAACCAGCACTTTTTTAGTACTTCGTTGTGGTACCAAACGGCCCCAGCTGACACCAAAATGCAACGTCAGAAATATGTTCGTCACTGATTGGATAAATTTTTGCAAATGTTTAAAATTTCAAAAGTTATTCATCAAATGTGTTTCCGTCTCTCATTTTGTCCATTATTTTTTTTTCAAAATACCTAAAAACCACCACCACCAACCGCCCAAAACACACCCACTGGAACCGGACCGGAACATCAGTAGAAAACCAACTGGTCCGACCCGTACCTACACCGACCGTTCCGACACTACACTAAGTAGCACTAGTGAAAAAGGGGCATATTTGGCGCGTTTACAGTTGATATTAACCAATACCATTTCGTGGTGACACTTGATATTTTGATATAATTTCTGTATGAATACTTTCTAAAAGCACGCCAAATGTGGTAAAAAGCAGGGGTGTCACGAGATTTTAAGGACAAGGGGGGCTTAGCCCCCAGGAGACGCACATAATTTTTGTATATTATATATTT